CATGTTCAGTGGGACCCAAAACAGGCTTACAGGCATCGAGTCTTTCATCTCCCAAGTTATAAGCACCATTTGCGTTCACTGTAGATGTGTTCATTTAGTTTGTGCTGAAGATTAGAAAATAGTAAAAGCTAGTAGTAAAAAAAAAGAGAGAGAGAGAGAGAGAGAATCTTCGCTTCTGACAGACGGACCTTGGTGTGTGGAGGTCAGTTACCATTATAACACTGCACCGCCAGCCAGCCAATGGCTGAGGCATCAGAGAGGGTCACTGAAATGCATTCGGTCAGGTTAGAGGTCCACCAATGACCTGAGAAACAGACCCCCTTTGGACTTAATACCACCAGTTAAACAACATGGGCTTCGGCGACAAGTTTCAGGCGTAAGAACAGGGTGGAGCAGCTTTAAGGGGCAAAGATCAGTGTGCCTTGTGATGTAGGAGAGCACTGGATTGCTTACTTAATTGATTTGTGAGTGGTCTGGTTGGCAGCAAGGACTTGCTAAGCGTTTCAACTTGGAAAGGGATTGTAAACTAACATGGACCTCCTGCCCTGGGCCACTGAGAGCGGAACAGACCCTCTTCCGGCTCAGAGCTGTTCTAAAGCTGGAGGCGAGATTCCAGGATGGCGTGCACCAGGTTCTGTTAGCTCCGGAAGAGGGGCACTTAACAGAATGAAGAGATAAGTAACCTCAATGCAAGCGCATACATATGACAGACAGACAAAGTAGACTTCCTAGTTTAGCATTTACCATATCAGAAATACAGATTACATTTTGTAATTTAAGCTAAAGACAAATATTAAGTTAGCCTTATTTAACAAATGGAATATTAAAAGTAAAGGAACATAAAAATTTTACTAATGGTCAGGAGTCAGAATTAGGATCTCTGTCATTTTTATCAAAAGAGCAACTTTTAAAGAAGGTAGTGCAGTATACTGCAGAAGTGAAAACCATGCTTTTAAATTCTTACCTTAGAAATTTGATATCACCATTTCCTTCACTTTTTGGCGATTAAGAATCATTTTTTATTCTGTGCACTAAATCATTGCAGGAACACAGAAAGCAACATGATAGATTATGGGAAATATTTTAAACATGAATAAAACTTGAAGCTGACAAAAAATTATTTAAAAAATAATCTTACCTTAAAAATTACATAACTGTTATCTTCCTCAGCTATACAATGTCTATTTACATAAAAACGGATATGATGCTGAATTATTAGTCAATGGAATTCATTCTTAAGTTTGTGAATAATTTTCACTTGTACTATATACAATAATCTTATCATTAAAATAGTGCATCTGGCCCTAGCCGGTTTGGCTCACTGGATAGAGCGTCGGCCTGGGGACTGAGGGGTCCCAGGTTCGATTCCAGTCAAGGGCATGTACCTTGGTTGCGGGCACATCCCCAGTAGGGGGTGTGCAGGAGGCAGCTGATCGATGTTTCTCTCTCATCGATGTTTCTAACTCTCTATCCCTCTCCCTTCCTCTCTGTAAAAAATCAATAAAATATATATTAAAATAGTGAATCTGTCCTAAGAACTCAAAATACATTATAAATGTTATTACATGAATGCTCTCAGCACATTCTTTGGAACAAGAGGAGGGCAGGTACCATAATCTCTAAGCCTGAACCATATAACAAATTCATTAGGTTTAAATAAGAATTTCCCAAGAGGTTTCCGTCTAGCACTTTCCTTTTTCCTTAAGGAAATTAAGTTATAATGTTAACTTTATGGGCTTAATACTTCATTTATTTTTCAAAAAGGAGATTAGTACCTGACTCAAGGTAAGCCCTTTCAAACAAAGTGAAAAAAGTTCCTGAATGCTTAAGAATTTGGAAGTAATCAAAAATTTAAGAATATTAGTTATAATTACATGGGTGAAATATATTTAGTTTTATTATTCATGTATTTTGGGAGAATTTTACATATTCTACACATAGCTG